GGGACGTTGCCTTCTAGAGGGTGGGGATAGTGTTACGGACTCCGCCAGGGCTCGACCCCTGGTCTGTCTTTTTGCTGTTTCAGCTGCATCCCGTTTTCGGCCTGGCACCCTTTTTCCAAACCCCTCCTTTGGTACCGTAGGATTTTGGACAACTGGCGCCACACTGCAATTTGTCCCACTTTCAAATACCGCATTTTACAGAAATGCTCCTGGTACCGTACGTGTCACCGGTACTTATACCGGCTCCCCGTACGGTACAGGGACCAGTCTCGTATCGGTTTCCAGACGCTGTACTCGTACTAAGTGTGACATGCTGCTTCAGCATTCGAGAATCCAAGACTTCGACTGTGTCATTGCCACTGTCTGCGTCCGACCCTCGGTCGTGTCGAGTGAGTGAGTGTGTGTGTGTGTGCTCTCTCACTCTCTCCCACTCTCTCTCCTCCCCCTCGGCTCTCCCCGTTTCCCGCAGCATCGCACTCGTCACACCTGTCCCGCAAAGCTGAATTGGGATCATCATTCAGAATGAACAATTAGAGAACTGCCCAAGCAGAAATCACATGTGCTACAGATGGGTACATCAGTTGACAAAAACTACCCACATTAAAACGACATCTGAAACAGGAAACTAGGCAAACATCCCAGACAAAAAGCCACGGATAAGCAGCTGTACTGACAACATCAATTCACCAGGCGTCCTAATATTACGCCTCAGGTAACTAGATTGCCCAAATTGTTCGGACAGAGGGTCATATGGCACGAGGAGACATCTACCAGTTTAGCCTAGCTTTATGTTCTTGATTCAACCTGCGGTTTGAAGGATTCTTAGCTATACCTTCCTGACTGGGTCAACTCAGGACGATGTACTTACGACGGAAGTTAAAACACCAACAAGAGGCATGGCGCAGTGACACTAATTTGAAATGCCATGACAGACCCGGAAAAATAGCTGGTCGCCTGCAATCATAACAGTTTGTTTATTCGAAAGAGATCACCGTTTCCTTCCACACCCGTCAATGGCAATTGACACACTCAGATGTCTTTCCACGATGACACAATTAGCAAACAGCTCGTAGTGTGATATGATCATGTCGTTGGGACAACCAGGGTACCAGAATAAAGGCTGCTCACCAACGTTCGCCAACTTTCCGGCTCCTGGCACTACGCAGCAGTCAGACTTTCCTCTCAAACATTGTAATACCCAAAAGGAGCTCTCTGCAAGGACTTCAATAGTCGGCTACGCACTTATTTCTCGAAGACCTCAACCCATCACCTGCAACGATCGTGTTCCGCAAATGGAATGTGCACAGTGACTGTAAACAGGATCGGTTTCCAATGGTCAAGAATGTGCGACATGAACGTGAACAGAGTAGCATCTGCAGCTTTCCTCCGCTGTCTGTTCGTCGCAAATGTGATTTGTGCTCCCTTTAAGAATCACTGCTGGCTAGTACAGCGCAGGCAGAGATAAAAAAAAAGTACCAAGGGAGCAGAAAATATGAAAGACAACCATGTCCTTGGGGACATCCGTTAAACTTGGAATGATACAACGAAGATTAGCATGGTCCACTGCACAGGAATGACATGCATAAGTCAAGAAATGGTCCCTGCTCACAACGATCAACTCCGCCGTGGAATGCATAAGAGAGCAGAAGGTAAGAAACAAACCCTTCCATCACCTCTCCGCAGAGAACCATAAAGGTGCACGGCGCGCCGAAAAAAATTCTACTGAACAACTGGCCGTGAACACCACTCCTTGCTCCGGTAGCCACTCGCAAATGGAAATCGGGCGATACCAGTGGCAGACAGTCTTGGAAAACAACTCACAAGACTATTCATACAAAATTCTCACACACAAATCTACCATATCCCCGAATGGAGCACGCCGTTGTGGATGACTTAGAAAGGAGCAAAAGACTATAGCACTAGCCTGAGAAGCTCAGATCAACTACAGAATGAAAAAATTGCCATGTGAAACAGAGACGAACTACGTAATTTTCTGTTTACTGTCAGTACACCTGAGTTATCTTAAAACGTTCTCGCATTCCCCCCTCTTCCATCTGCACCAATCCCTTGACTGCCTATACTGCT